TCTGTGAACCTTACAAGCTCTTGGCTCACGTTTTGAGCCGCTGTCAGTTCCTCCTGATATCCACATTGTTCCTTTGTAACCCGCACAAAACGCTCTATGTGTATTATTTTGACTAGTGCGTATTTTTCTAATTAGGCTTTTGGCTTCACTGCCTCAGACCGCAGCCGTAGATGCTGCTTGAAACGCTGCCTTAGACTGTGCTGACACACTTGCTCACTATTTTATTGCAGTATTCCCAGTCTTGAATGTTTCTCCATAAATTCACTTCGTGAAGGCTTTCAGCCTGCTTCCCAAACCAGACGGTTTCAAATCTCCTCTTTTCTTTAACTTCTGTTGGGCACAGTCAGAGCTGAAACTGAACCTCCCCCTCCACCCCAGACTACCACATGGGTTGTAGCCACTGAGATGGACCTCGTGTCTCCCCACAGATGTGGCTGGCCTCTAATGAAGCCCTTCCTGTGCAATAGCATCCAGTGACTTCTGAAACTCAGGCGTGTTCCCCTGGTGTGTGGTTTGGGCTTTTAAGAGGCGTTGATGCCCAGATCTTGTGTGGCTCCTCCTCACTGTAGGCAAGAGCAAGCCATGAGCTCTGCAAAAGGAGCTTGGCAGAGGAGCCTGAGTGCACTGATGCAGGTGCTCAAGACACTTGGGACTAGACTTAAAACAAAAAAATGCTCAGCTGCTCATACTAAGTAGTGGTTGCTTGCATAAAAATAGGACAGCTTGCCTCATACTGGGTGATATTTTTTTTTGCATCACAGTTTTAGGCTTAAGTACCTCATTCCCACGTAAGGCCCTTGTGGTGAGCTGGTCTGGAGTCTCATGTTGAGGAGGTGACTCCCTTTGCTTCACAAGAAGTGCAGTTGCAGGTGCTGTCAGCTCAGGCCTCGCAGGCTCATGGTGGGAACTGCTCCAGCCCCCAAAAGCAGCCAAGCTCTTCTCTGTAAGCTTTCCACTCAAGAGCTGTCTAAGGCAAGAGTAATCATATCCTATTCGTAGACCTTAAGGGACTGCTGCTAATGAAGTCACATTAGCAGAGGCAAGGACCCTCAGCTGGTGTGTTCACATGCAGAAGATCTCCACTGCATTTGATGTGTTTAATTGCTATTAATCATTGCCCATCAACACATCACATTTTCTATGACGGTGTTTAAAGGCAGAATTTTATTTATTTATTTATTACTCCACTCCAGTTACCTTGCTGGGCACCATCCTCAAAAGGTAAACCCTCTGCCATCTTCAGGGAACTGAGGGTTGTAGCACTGCTGAGAAAAGGTCAAAATCTACTCTTGAACCTGACTTTGAAGTCATAGCCCAGAGCTTGGTCAGCTGCTGAGTAGGGATGGTGTTAATCTGCAGCTGTCTTGCTCACATGCTCCTTCTGCACAAAAAGTCCTGTGCATAACACCTCCGTACCAAAGCAGGTGCAAGCTCACAAAATACTACAATGAAAAAGGTTTGTTTTCCATTCACTAGAGACTTTATAGCAGACACAGCCATTTAGGCACACAGCTTCTTGCCATCTATCACTTTCAGAGCTGCGTCACTGCACAGAGCAGTAGATTAAGATTTACTGCTGCTGTGCAGTGCACAGCCAGTTGCCTTGCACCGGTGTGATACTGGCGTGATACTGGGGGACTGCCACTCGCCTTTGATGGCCATGACCAGCGTTACGTGTTTCCAGCTTTCAGTGAAGGTCTGCACCAAATCTATAGCATCACATCTCCACCCCTGCATCCCCAAAGTACCCCAACAACACTCCCATTATCTCTTTCTTGCTGACAAAGCGTGTAACACTTGACTTTAAGATATATCAACAAGCAAAGCTTTATTGAGTTGATACTCAGTATTAAAAGTGTTACAGTGTGATACACAAAGCGAGGAAAAAAGCAGTGCTTCTAAAATAAAAAAACCAATTTGTCTGCTGAATGTATGGCCCGAGCACTACAGTAACTAGTATCTGTTTCACAGTAGGTAGCGACATTTAGGAAACTCTCTTCTTTCTTGTAGCAGGATCTCAGCAGAGCTGTAAGGGGTTTTGAGCCGTGCCCCCTTCACTGGGCGTGGACGAGGGCCCCAGCCCCCTGGCCGTACCCAAATCCCTTGGGGCCGAAGTTCTTGGCATAACAACCTGCAAGACAGATGCATGTGCAGTAGCTTAAAAACCTTTTAAGCTGCTTAACTGCTATGACCGAACTCAGCAGCTGTGGCTGTTCGGTCCGTGTAGCACCCAATCTACTCTGCAAAAGCAGTTCATACCTCGGTCCTGCGGCTGCGGTATCTGTTAAGATATATGTTATCATCAAACCACCGTGTGCATCAAGTTTATATCTGTAACACCATGCAGGCATGGCAGGATGGTAGTGAGCTTGCTTCCTTACTCTCATCTGCTTTTTGACGCGGTACTCAGTTTTCTGCTCCACGCAGATGTAAGCTACATCAGCAGCTTCAGTGATACTTGTTTCATTTCTCAGCTCTGTCGCTACAACTGACAGACCATTTCCACCTTGACAGGAGCCTGAAAGTTTCTTACACCAGGACTAAACTCAGCATCTGTCCTCGTAACACACTGTCTTGAACCATAATCAAATGATATTTGTTTCTTTCCTCACCTTTACAATAGATTTCTCCCTCTTTTTCAGTTAGGGTTGTAGATTCTAGGCTTTTTCCACACTTGGCACATCGGAAGCAGTTTTTGTGCCATGGCTAAGGAAAAAAGAAAGGAAGAAAAAAAAAGATAGTTTAAATACACACAATCCGAGTTGATAAAAAAGTGCTTTACCTGGAGATGCCTGCGTCGGTATTGCTTACAGATGACTGGTGCAATAAAAACCAGCTGAAGTGCACCAGCAGCAGATGAGAGCATCTCATTTCTGTGAGTGGCACAAAGCCCTGGACTGCACACAGCATCCTGCTCAGGGCAGCGCTCTGGAAGGCTTGGGCTCGCTCTGATCAATTCAAGGCAGATTTTGGCTCCTTGCAGCCAGTCAGACACTGGCACTTCCAGAGAAGATCCCCTTTCTGCTGAAACATCAGCAGCTGCACACCACAGGACTGTTCCCTCCTCTGGGGTGAGCACTCCTGTAGTCATCACCCTGCACTTCGACTGCTTTTTAGGCAATTAAGTTGATTGATTTGACTATTCCCAGTGCTAAGAAATGCAATTTTAAGGTAGCTCTGCCTCACAGTTGGTTCCCTACTGGAACCCTGCCCACTTTAAAGTCCACGTAGCAGGTACAAAATGGTACACGCAGCTCCTTACCTTTCCAGCTCCTATTACTTTCTCTGCTGCATAAACGGAGTCGCCACACCTGGAGCATTTCTCTGCTCCTCCGAACTTCTGAGCGAACTTTGAAGTGTTTGGATTTGTTGTGGGTCGATGGGGAGAGGGTGTGCTGAAAGAAATGGGACATTTCCTGCCTTTACTTCACCTTTTCACTTCTCTAGAAGTGCTGAATTCTGTACCAGGAGATGGATTTGTCAGATAGTAAGCTACAAATAAATTCCTGTCGACTGATCATAATCTGGAACCCGAACTGATCACTGAACCTAATGGATTGAACCATTTATCAGTTCTGGCTATGTCCTGACTGAAGAGCATACATCACATAAACGTCAAGCAGTAATTTGGGAACTTGCATGAAGAAGGCTGTGAAGCATACCTCAGCCTCTTTCCACATGCTTTGCTTTACAGCAAGAATGTAATCAGCCTAAGAATGTTTACTATTTAATAGGACTTTGGGGTTTGGCTATAATTAGGCACAAATGGTTCTTCATTTGCCAGTTAAAAATTCATTCTTCTCGTAGCCCCAGATTCTCAGCTCTCCACATCCATCCCTGCCAGAACCTGTTGAACATTTGCAGTTTATTCAGGAGAGCGACTCAAGACACAGGATCACCTCTGTGGGCTCGTGCAGAGCCATCAGCAGCTCCATAATGCAGTCTCCTATGGGTCACGCATGGGGTGGTTCATCTTTACCTGCACTCCTGCTTGTACGGTCCCTACTTGTGTTATCACCAGCAGAAGCTTTGTGCACTGCAGGGTAAATGCCCAGTACTGGGGTATTTTGCAGTATTTCTATTCCAGACAATACAAATTAAACAAAATTCAGCCTGAAAGACTCCTCTGAAAACAGCACTGAGGGACAGGGGTCTCTCAGCTGGGTTCACTCACCTCTCGGGCTTGATGCCCAGTCTCTCCCCCCTGTCCATGTTGAGCGTGCCTGCCCCTTGGCCGTAGCCGTAACCTTTCGGGCCGTACTTTTTCCCATAGCAAGATTTGCAGTAAACTTCAGCATCGTGAATGGCTACGGTTGTGCTGTCCAGGTTTTTCCGGCAGACCACTGGAGGGGGGAAAAAAGTTAAATTGCCTAATTGCCTTAAGGGATCATTTTCAGCAGCACATGAAGTAAGCCAAAAATCACGTGAGAAGTGATGTTATGGGTTTCCTTGTCCACAATTCCTCCTATATTAGGCTGTGGGACTGCTAAAGATGAGAGGGGGCAGGTTGCCGTTTGAATTAGTGAATTATGCTTAGCCCTGTAAAGGGCTCTATTCCCTCCCACCTCCTCATGACCGTGACATTTCAAGCCTGGAAACTTGCTGTAGTTTGATGAATGAGGCTGCTCAGAAACCCAGCCAGTGCAGTCAGCAGTTTCCCTTGACAGATGCCATACAGCATGAAGCAGAAGTCTACTGGTGCAGAAGAGCCCCTGTCCTGCCCTTCTGGCCAGGGTGGGACTGGGAAAAAAAAACCTTGAAGGTTTTCCCCTGGTTTGGGGCAGAGGTGGGGCTGTTTCGCAGCTGTCACCAGAGGGGCCGTGCTTTTCTGGCATTCCTACGTTGTCCTTCAGCACAATGCAAGCCTCTGCTCAAGGTTACAGCAGAAGGCAGAACTATTTCCTTCTTAAACCTTCCTTTGTTTCCCCACTGGCACGCTCTTTCCGTCTGCATTATGTCCGTGATAAAAAATACGGGGAGAAAGAAAAAGGAAAAAAAGCAAAAGCCTTACGAATTGTTTGTTTAAAAAGAATGTTAAGGTCTTCAAAATACAGGGTGACCTCTGCTTATGGCATTCATTAGCTCCAAGGCTCTTTTTACAAGACACAAATATCCAATAAGTAAATCACCTAATGCATGTTTGTTAAGCCTACAGACTTTAACCCGAACAGAACTAAGCGCTAAGGAAAAGCAAATACTCAGGCACACTACAGCCATTGTTTGACTCCAAGTTCCAGGTTTCCTTTAATAGAAACTCCCATAAAAGGCTGAAAATGAGGGAGCCGAGACATCTAATCTTTTTGTGTGTGTGTTTTACTGCTGCAGAGCTCAGGGGAAGGCGTGTAGGTGCACCCAGGCTCCCCTGCCAGCGCAGTGCACTGCCGACCAACAGCAAACCTGTTTGAGACACAGCAAGTTGTCACTGTGCCTGGCTCTGCCCGCAGGTATTAAGCACCAGTGAGCGGGACAAGACGATACCTCATGTCTGTAATGAGGTAAAATTCTGGGATTCAGGCAGGCAGGCTGTTTGTTTGCAAAGCAGGAGCTTCCGATTCACAGCGACCCTTTGTTCCCTCCGTCCAAGCAGAGGGCTTTTTAGTAGAGAACGCAATTTGCAATGCCTCGCTGGGCTTGTTGGTTGGACTGGAAAATAATGCTTTGGACTCCTTTCACCCGAAATAAACCACGGGCCCCCGTGCCAAGAAAGTGTAGACTTTTGGCCATGCTAAAGCATCAACAAGTCGGCTGTGCCCAGGCACGCTGGTGTCCTGGTCTGTGGGACTGCAGGGCAGGGGTTTACTTATTGCTGTCCCTTCAGCTGCTGCTGGCCCCGGGACCACCAGGTGAAATCCAGCTGATCCATGCAAACAGGGCTCTGCCACTGGGCTTTCTCCACCAGGTTTCCAACCTAAAGATCCCTTGGACTCCTGAGGAAAAGGCTGGGAGAGGGGCAAATGGAGGAGAAAAGCATGATGTGCTCTGCTTTGGGAGGTGCATCCCACACCTCACAGGTGCCAGCTGCACCTGGGACAACTCCTGTGGACCAGCACCTTGCTGTTGTGACCCCCCCCAGCTACACCAGGAGCGGCTTTTTAGGACTGTGGGAGGGAAGTACTCACTGCAGAGGAAGCAGCACCGGTGGAAGCTCCTCCCGTCACACTGCACCTCCTCGGCGTGGTAGACGATGCGGCCGCAGGCGCCGCATTTGTTGCCGCCTCCCCAGTTCGGCATGGTGGCTCTGCGCGCCCGGCCCAGCAGGAGGGGAGAAGGAGAGAGGTTTGTTAACCACGGTGTCCTCCACCACGCCAGCGTGGAGACAGCTGGGGCTACAGGCTCCTTTAAACTGGGTCTGAGAATTTTGTCTATCAGAGCACGAGCCTGTGATGTTGCCAACGGTTTAAAAACGTGACCTTCCCCCGCGTGAGAAGTCTTTGCGATCAGATCGACTTTTCAGCCCGTCGGCTCCCAGACCAGGCTTAAAGGCTCAGGCGGGCTCTCCACGGCTATTTGTAAAGGCAGATGGGCTGGCAAGGGGAACAGCTGCCAAACAGCACAAAAAACAGAGACACAGTCTTCAGGAGACGTGTCCTCCCATCCCTGCCCGTGGTTTTGAACATTACATCAATTGGATATGCACAAATTACAGTTGCACGCACAAGGGCTTTACTGTACCTTGAGCGAAGGCCCCCCCAGATGGATATAATTTCAGTTTCTATGCTCCATTAACGCTGGGCCTCTCGGCTGGTGGAAGCAAACCAATTGTGCCAACAATGGCATTTTGTTTTACTGCAGGGCCCATAGTTTGGGACGCAGTGCCAGCCAACGTTCACCTCACTGAAGGAACACTTCTTAGGGCTGGAGGGACACTCTGAACTCCTCTGAGATCACGCCTGCACTTCAAAGAAGTTTAAAGGGGAATTAAATCCCAGGGACTACACCACTATTATATCAACTGAGCCTTTACCAGACAGGTACAGGAACCGAACCCAGGTGCTCAAGGAGCCACAGCTGCTTTAAAATGAAGAAAAACTCCCTCTCATGCATCACTTGCCATGGACACTCAGAGGGCTGGTGGGGAGGGACAGCCACCATCACTTACCACATCAAACTGCAGCCTTGGGAGCAGCCTCTTACCTTAAGCCAGAAGCAGCAACTGTCCCATCCCAAGCTGAGCTGCCCCCTCCCGAGCTCCTCTGTGCTTGTGCCACCACCACCACCAGCAATTCCCACCCAGCTGGACTGGGAGCTCCTCCTGCTTCTCCCATTACCAGTCCTGGGCTAAAGCACCAAAGCAGAGCACTGCCCACCACGTCTGGCTCTTCTGGGGCTTTCCTCCTCCTGCTACCACCACACGCTAAGGTAGTGGTGTCTGCTGAAGGCTCAACTCCCCATCATCGCTGAACTGCCCTCGACTCGCAGACTTCAGTAGCCCATCCCTCTGAGCCAGAAGCAGAGGACAACCAACCTCCAGCTGCTCCCCCAGCCAACCGGAACTGGAAGCGCCACTATGGCACAGGGAGCCAGCAAGGAGCACTTTGCTTCAAGATCCCCTGCCTGATGGGGCTCTCACCCATGCGTGCGAGAGACCTCAGTGCAAGAGGGTCTCGTGGCAAGAGGTCTCCCCAGGCAAGGTAGCACAGACTCACAAATCACATCCTAGTGGCAGATTTGACTAAGGCTGAATTAAGTGACCCACCTTGCCAGCTCTCCTAAACAAGCCCCCTACCCGAGCAGACTGAGCAGCAGTTTTAGGGATGCAGGGAAGGCCGCGTGGTTCCCAAGTCCAACACGCTGCCAAGGAGCTGCTAAAAGACCTTTGTCCGAGACAAGCAGGCAGCCATTCATGGCATGTGGGAAAATGAGATTAGTTTATTAACCTAAATTGGGGCATCTTAGGTACATTCCTAAGCAAAGGCTTAGGGAACTTCCTCGGAGTGGCTGAGCAGTGCCATTTGCACGCTGACACTAATTACTGAGATATCCCTTTGTTTAATACTTCCATGGGATTAGCACCATTACTGCTCCATGGTTTAGCGCTAATACCCTGACCAAGCTCATAAAATTAGTTTTATGACATTTCCCACTTTGCCTTTGTCATTCTTGGCACAACTGCAGAGTCTAAAAATTAAGATTCCATTTCTTTTATTCAAGTGCTTGGCTGTGCTACCGCACAGCAGCTGACATCAATCATGGCAAAGAGCATCCTTAGTTAAAGGGAATATAGGCTGCACAAAGCTTTGGAAAAGGAATGCATGGCCCGGAAAAAAAGAGAAGAGATTCCTTTCCACTTTGTATGCTTTCCAAAACGTAAACGGTGTACAGTACAAGAACTACTTCTGTCTTTTCCTCTCACCATCCCCACACTGTTCTTTTGTGTATTTATATGCATCTGAATTATTTAATCCTTTTGTTAGCAAACAATTATTTAGTTTCCATCCACACTAGAGCTGAGGACCTGGATCAGGTTTCCAGCTTTGCCCCAGATTTCCCATGTGATATTGGGCAACACAGGGGTGCAGCTCCACCCCTTCTTCCCAAGGGAGACGATCTGGCAACCATGAGCTGATTCAAATCTTCTGATAAGTGCTCTGGGAATTCATTAAATGAAAAGCAAAAAGACACTGAAGTCAGTACTTTAAGGTGACCTTGGTCTCTTCCATGGAAGATATTTCCATTTATCCTCCCCATAATGTTCCCATGACGGCAGGCGTGGGAAGAACAGCAATATTTCTTCACTTACCTGACAGCCTGGGCTGCCCTGGGGCAGCGGTGCCCAGAAAGCACCTAAGGGGGTACGGGCTGATGGCTGGAAGGAGCTCAACGCCTGGGATGGGGTACAAGCCTGTCCACGGCCACTCGCTCAGCACACTCCGGGGCTTGGTGCTGCCCAGGTCTCCCCTGAGAGCCCCGCAGGGAACAGTCAGACTCCCAGGCCTGCGTTAAGCCTTCCCTGCTCCCCGACAACTTTTTGGCTAGTTCAGGCAGGCCTCCAGGGAGCTCAAGAGCAGTAATTAAACATCCAGATGATCTCACTGCCAGTACCAACAATTCTGACTTTTGATTACAGGTTTGTTGGCAGCTCTAATAAGAAAACCCTGACTTCTGCTAAGCTCATAGCTGGTCAAGAGGAGACAGCTAGCGTTCTCTGAAACACCGCTGCCAAGCCCTGGCAAAGACCTTCCCAGGCCATTTGTTCTCAGCAGATTTAACTACAGGAAATCCAAACCAGCCCCAAGACAGGCACTGGGGAGCCTCAGGCTACCCGGTCACCTATCCCGGCTGGCTTTTTCAGGAAGCCAAGTGCGCTGGTCCAGCCCCAGGCCCAC